TAAATACATACTGTTTCACTAAATACATACTATTTCACTAGGTACATACTATTTCACTAGGTACATACTATTTCACTAGGTACATAGTATTTCACTAGATACATACAATTTCACTAGATACATACTATTTCACTAAATACATACTATTTCACTAGGTACATACTATTTCACTAGGTACATACTATTTCACTAGATACATACTGTTTCACTAAATACATACTGTTTCACTAGATACATACTGTTTCACTAAATAAAATTCTAACTAAAAATAATATAAAAAACATCACTATCAAAAGAGCTCGAAATATTAAATTTTTAGGTTTAATATTTTTGTTGACAAAAACATCTGTTGGAAAACCCATTTTCCTTGTATAAACACCCAAATATTAAATAATACAAATCAAGATCTTTGTTGCCACAAAATGATCTAAAACTTATTAACCTTTCTTTTATGCGTTTATACATTTAGTGGGCCAATATAGCACGGGTACACAATACTCACAAATCAAAGTTACAATCGTTGTATTTACGTCAAAAACATTTCTCAAGATCAGCAAAGAACAAAACAAATTTACTCTTGTTCAACCTTTATTCGAACAAATGAAAGCGCTAAATATCTTTCAAATAAATATTTACCAAATATACTTTTCATGCCTAAATACAAACTGGACATGATGCGATAGCAATTTATAACACACCTTTTAAATATAGTTTCATCAAGTATAACTCAAGAAAATTAGGAAACTTTAAGATACCATTTGAAACAGAAAAAAGATCTCTCAAGATTCCCTGTTTATACAAAAAAAAAAAAATGTTTAAAAACAAATCACTAATAAATTTTAATAATAAAAACTCTCTGAAAACAAAATTTAAAAAAATGTAATTATTAAATTAAACAAGTAAAAGAAACTTTTCTTTCATTTAACACAAAATTCTAAACTAAAGTGTATTTTAACACTTAAACAGAGGGAAAAAAATAATGATAGTTTTTATGGAAAGTTTTATTTACACCCTGGTTTGATCCATACTATGAAACTTTTAATAAACGGTTTGACTTGACGCACAAAAGTTGGCACAATAAACGAATTGACTTTAAGCACAAAAGTTGGCACAAGGTATGCCCAATTTACAAAAATAATTCATCAATTATTAAAAAACATTAATTATCAATTATCTCTAACTATTAGCACTTTATGTATTTTAAAACTTGTTTTGAACGTTTTTTTTAATAATAGAGTTTATTTATAATTTCTATTTTTACACAAAAAATTTGGTTTTAGAATAAATCATATAACTAAACAAGGAATAATTAATTAGTTGAATAATCCAAATTAAATAATTCAAATTACTAAAAGTTTTTAAAAAACTTCACTATTTGACTATTTATTAACTTATCAAAGCCATTTGATTGGATCACCTCATTCCTTTAGAAAAAAATACAACACTGTAGTGATAATGAAGCTATAAATTTAAGATTCTAAACTCTCCCCAGGGGCGGATCCTTAGATGATTAAAAAAACCTTTTTCTTGTTATCAATACTTGGTGCATTGCCTTTATAAAAAAAGCATGCAATTTTAAAGAAAATAATAAAACGATTTGAAATTATTTAAATTTATTGAAACACAACTATTTGACAAAGATTAAAGAGTTTACTTGTTTAACTAAATATATTTAATTAAAATTTGTATTATATGTTGTTAAAGTAGTAACCAACAAATCAAAGTTTTAAATACGTATTTTAAACCTTGATTTGTTGATTACTTTAACAACTTGCGAATTTAAAATATTCTTTATAATAGAACTTCGTTTTGCAGAAGCAATGAAAAAATCAAAAACTTTGCCAATAACACCCAAACAATTTCTGATATTCAAAAAAAAATAACTAAAAAATTATTATGATTTATGGGGTTGTTAGAAAAATCTACAAACTGCCCCTCTTTTTTACATGATGGTCTGGATCCGCCCCTAACTCTCCCCCAATGTAAATAAAATAAAATGTACTTTATTCCATTAAAAATTAATTTAAAAAAATCTAACTCTAAAATATCTTGATATCATTTTAAATGATACACTCATTTTAAAAAAATGATTCCATAAAATTATTATGAATTCTTATTGGTAAAAAAAGGTAATATCAGTGTCGGATTAAGACTTCTTGGCGCCCGGGGCTATTTTTGTTTTAGGACGCCTTTTTATGTGCCAGAGCCTAAAAATGACTAAAAAAAAAAAAAAGAAAGAAAAAAAAGATCCTCTAAAATTTTTTGGGGCCCCTGAATTTGCTGGGCCCGGGGCTATAGCCCCCCCCCCCTTGATCCGGCACTGGGTTATATAAAGATATAAAGAAAAAATTAAATAAAGGTTTACTTATGACTAATTTAAAAAAATTAGTAACTACCGATAAAAAGTACATTATTACACAAAGCAAAGAGAAATCATTTGATGTCAAAATTTAGTAAAAGAGATGGCTCATATACGTGACTCATGGAATGTATTGTTCAAGAGGTTAAAGCTGTTACAGAAGTTATTGGAATACAAACTCAATTCTACAAAATGATGTTCTTCTACTTCTAGATTTGAACACAATTTTTTTCATTGAAAAATCTTTCTTCTGTCTTCTGAATTCAATTTAAGACAAACAACGTCAAGAGGGTTTTGCCAACATCGATCTAGCAATTAAGTTATTTTGTATAATTCCAGTAACTATATCAGCAGCTAAAAGATCTTTCAGCAAAATAGCAAATTCTTTGAAGGCATGGTCAAAAAACACAGCATATCAAGATCAATTAAACCATCTTTCCATTTTATGTTTTGAAAATAATTATGCGAGTTGATTTTAGTGATTTTAGTTGATTAAGAAATAACTCAAAAATGTCACTTGAGATAACGTTTGTAATTTTAATATTATCAAAAAGGGAGAATGGAGAATAGAAAATTAAATAAAATTTTTATATAATATATGTAACTAAACAAGTTTCCACAAATAAAACATCATTTTGTCACTGATTCACGAATTTCATAAGTGCGATCTCGCATAAATGAGAAAGGCGTAAGTGCAAACTGGCATAAGTGCAAAGCAGTTGAAAAAACTCGAGTTGGCATAAATGCGAACTAGCATAAGTGCGCCGAATAAATTTGCAAATATTGGAATATATGCAAACTGGCATAAATGCGATTTGACATGCGCACTTTTGCCATTTCGCAGTTATGCCAGTTTGCACTTCTGCAAGTTTGCGTTGTGCCAGTTTTTGTAATGGCTTTGCACTTTTGCCAGTTTGCACTTGTGCCAGTTTTTGCAACTGCTTCACACTTATGCCAATTCGTACTTATACCAATGTTTGTAAATTTATTCGGCGCACTTATGCCAATTTGCACTTATGCCACACTTCTGCCAGTTTTTGCAACTGCTATGCACTTATGCCAGTTCACATTTATGCCAATTCGCACTTATGGCAATGTTTTTAAAATTTTTCGCGCACTTATGTCAATTTGCACATTTGCCAGTTTGCACTTATCCCAGTTTTTAAAACACTTCGCACTTATGCCAGTTTGCATTTATGTCAATTTGCGTATATTCAGCTTCCCGATTCTATCCCCAAAGATTGACAGCAAGTATATATATTTTTGACTTTAGCGGAGCTGTGTCATTGAGGTAAAGTGAGACAAGTGTTGGGTAAAGTGGGACAAACGAGTAATTAGCAACATATTTACAAAAATTATAATTTAAAAAATATAAAAATTGTAAACCATGTAATCGTTATCAAAATATTCTAGAGGCATCCACAATATAATTAAACAATGATGATTGGGGAAAAGTGAGAAATCAATTTTCATTATTCAACTTCACCGCTTAAAAAATCAATTTTGTTACTTTCTAAAAATGTGGTTTTTACAACACACAGGTAGACAAAGCAAAATCTCTTAAATAGAGGAAAGAAATCTTAATTTTTTTACTTTAAACAAAAATGATTAAGAACCTTTCCTAACTGGAATTTTGGGGGTGTCCCACTTCTCCCCACTTTATCCTACTATTAGATTTATATCCTTTTTTTTAATTACTAATAAAAAAAAAATTTTATGTAATGCAGAGTTGTTAGTCCTTGGCCTTAGCCTTGCCTTAACGCCAAAAATTAAGGCCTTGGTTTTGGTTTTGACCTTGAAAATGTTGGTCTTTACCTTGGTCTTGGTCTTGAAAATTTTGGTCTTGGCTTTGATTGTTTTGGTCTTAGTCTTAGAAAAAATACATATTTTCTTATTAATTTTGTTGAATACTACGCATAGTCTTGATCTATTTCTACAAAATATAGTTTTATTGTCACAGCATTTAAAGGAGTTAACTAATGTTTTAAAAAGGGAGCATAATTGTACCATTTCATGATAATTGTACCATTTCATGATAACTGTACCATTTCATGATAATTGTACCATTTCATGATAATTGTACCATTTCATGATAATTGTACCATTTCATGATAATTGTACCATTTCATGATAATTGTACCATTTCATGATAATTGTACCATTTCATGATAATTGTACCATTTCATGATAATTGTACCATTTCATGATAATTGTACCATTTCATGATAATTGTACCATTTCATGATAAAAATGAAAAAAAAATGACTTCTTATTGCTAATCTTTAAGAATTTTTGAAAACTTTTTGTCTCATAAAGTTGTAAAAACAGTTTTGAAATATTAATTCAAATAAAAAATTCCCAAATAAATACAAAAACGTCTTAAATTTTGAAAGTATAAGAGGATGTTTTGTAAACAGCATATGTTTTCTATAACTTTCTCCCTTTTTTATCTGCAAAGAAAATTGTATTTTTCAGCGAAAATAACTTGTTTTCCTATTTTATTTGCCTAATCAATGGGGGAGCGGGAGGCAGGATACGTAGCTTCGTTTCAGAATGTAGTGGCTATGATAGGCTTATAAATTGAAAAAGTAGGTAGAAATATGCGAAACCACTAATATAAGACATAAGAATAATGGCCATATATGAAATCAATATTTATTAACATTTAAATTATAGCAGCCGTGGCACAGTAGTTACAGTTCTGGCTAAGAACCCAAAGGACCGAGGTTTGACGCCGGCTCTATCCCAATAAGCGACATCGATAAGAAAGGAGGCGTGAACTTCTAGTTAAATGCTCTCCCGCGGTGCTCCGTGATAGGACTGTGACGATTTTTGGGAGCACCTAGATAACCTAAAAAAATAATAATAAAAAAAATAACAAAATAAAAAAAAAATAACAAAATTTTAATTGAAAATAAAATAACAGACATATTCCGAAAAAATTCAATAATAAAACAATAATATAAGACATAAGAATAATGACCATATATGAAATCAATATTTACAAACACATAAACTTTAAGTATAAGTAAACTTATTCCAAAAAACTTCTAAATCTATGGAAAAATCTATAAAAACTTTTCAAAAAGCGAAATACTTAAGTATGGTAAAAGTCCTTAAATTCAATCAAGTTTGTTATAAAAAATATAGTTTTTAAGTTATATAAATAATCATTTCTTTATGAATACCAAATTCTATATATTTGTTTTGTGTTGTAATAAAGCTGTGACTGTATTAAGAAAGTTTGTGTGATTTACACACTAAAACGTTCGTAAAAATAAGTTGCTTTATTTATTGTGTTTTTGTTGGTATTTGTCAGTTTTCCTCTGGCCTTTATCTTTTCTGTCTATCCTATCACGACACCTCTGTTTAAGCTCCCGCCTGTTTTTACAAACTTTACAAAAACCTCTTTCTTATATAAACGTTACTTTGTAATTTTATTATATTATTATATGGACTGCAAAATATACATCACAAAAAACTGATTTATATAATTTTTTAAGGAAAATGATGTTGCATTTGGTCGCTAAACCAATAACGACAACGACATTTTTTGGGTGTTAATAATTATTAATCGAATGTAATTACTTACTAATAATTAATCTTATGGATTGTATGCCTATATATTGTTGCATCCTTTTTCTTGGAAACTTAATAACATGAAATAAGAAAAAGTTTAAATATATCTGTATATATTTTAATGCACTTTATTTTTATTTTTCTGAATTTTAAACAAAAATTAAATAAACAGATACTGAAAACCGTTTGTTGAAACAGGTGTAGCTCAAATTTTATGTAAAAAAGTTTTTAAAGAAAATTAATAATACTTTCAAGTGTGTAATTTTTTGAACCGTTCAAATTATTTAAAAAATTGGTTTATTATTAAATATTTTATGAAGAAATTAATTAGTCAAATCTTATATACTGCTTTAGATTGGCATTCATATATAATTTGGTTAAGTAAATTATTAACTGGTTTTTGACGAAAATTATTTTGGACTCATTGTATATTTATAGTGTTGTATTTTCATTCTTTTTTTTTTTTTCTTTATTAAACATTATTTCTATCAAATTTGTATTAGGATTTGATGTCAAGATTAGAATAGGATATTTAACAAAAGCCTGAGAAAAAAATTAAAATTCTATTTTACATAAACTTATTGTATAATAAACATGATTAGTAAAATAGTAAAACTTCTGCAAGTTTCTTTTTGGCTTTTACAAAATAATAACATGTATATAGTGTTACACATAAATAGTATTAAACATTATATTACTAAAAAAATAACAGTATAAACAACAGCAGTTATTAAAGCAGGAATAAAGAAATCAAGTAATTAGTTATGATTTTGGCATTATTGTTTGTTTTGGTAGTAAACGTTCTACCAGTTCAACCTACTTGCTTGTCGGTTCTGGACGGAAAAAGTTGTGAAATAATTCAACATGCTGGATATATGCTTTCTAGAGAAATTAAGATGGGAAACATTTTTTTAAACAATATACTGTTGATTTCCATGGAAAATAATCTAAAGCTAATTGAATCTCTGATTCCACCGTTAAAGATTCAATTGACAAACATTAAAATAAATAACCCTGGAATTAGTAAGTATTTAATAACTTAATATTTATACCATTAAGATTATTTATTTGAAAAAGTTATAAATAAAGCAGTTTGTTATTAATAGTTATTTTATATATGGTTGAGATTAGATTATTGACTTTTTTTATATAAAGATTATATATAAAATAAAATAAATATCAAAAGTTGTAAATAAAAATAATAGACTTTAAAGTTTGAAATGATTTTTTAAAGCCCCAATTGAAATGCCAACTGAAGCAATAGAAAAAAATTTAGTAAAATATCTAGTACACTCAGCACTTGCAGAAAACAAAAAATTTTTGGAGCTGATTGTTAAAGCTGCTTCTACTTTAGTTAATGATTATAAAACATCAAAGCATTTGATGGAGTATCCTGGAATCCAAAGTAATTTCTTAATTTTTGTAAATTCATCACTTATTAGCATTTTTATTTATTAAATTTGAAATTTAAATTGAATTTTTTTATTTTTTTATTTGTTAAATAAATTTACAAATTAATCAAATATCTTTTTGTAAAGTGACTTACAGTGGTTTTTCTTTACTCAAATCTGAGTCTAATAACTTGCACGATATAATCAAGCACGCGTTACCTGAACTTCAATCATTAATGACATCGGTAGATACCGGTTTAAAAACTTCTGCAAAAACGTTGATTGATATTTTTATTCAAAGTATTAAATCTTTGCTTCAAGACAAATTGCAAATCAGTAAAAAAAATTTTTCTATCTGTCTTTATTTATATTTTATTCAGTTTATTTCATTTTTTTCTTTATAATTGTTGAGCCATGTTTTATTTCCCAAAAAAAGTTAAAAAAACAATATTTTTAAATTTTGTTTTAAGGTTATGAACAAATTGAAAGTGACATGTTAGTTTTTTCAAATCAATCTAATCAATTACTTGTTAAAAGTATGCTTAGTCGTGGTGAAAATATACTACAGGAGGCAGTAAAATACATAGAAGAAATTGATAGCCAAGTTGAGTTGTTGAAGGAAGGTAACTAGTTAATAAAAAGTTATATATATATATATATATATATATACATGTATATATATATATATATATATATATATATATATATATATATATATATATATATATTTTATTTTATTTATAATTTCATTAATGATGTAATTAATTCGTTGTAAAATCTAACATAAACAGTTTAACAATTCCTTTCTTCTTGAAACACCCTCAAGTTATCAAAGAACCGCCATTTTGCTTAGCTGCTAAAAAACTACAATTTTTATGTCAAATTCTTCATATCTATGTTTCGGAAAAAGAAAATTGCAAAACAAAGAAAAATGAAAATAAAGTTTATATATTACAACCAACAACGCTGTTCTTTCAGTCTCTGTCATTTAAAACACAGAAAAACTAATAACACCCGTTCAAACTGAGTGGAATTGCATTTCAAGGATAAATTTTTTCATTTATAATTTAATTTTTATCTTTTTTTAATTTACTAAGAGTACGCTGAATAGAAGTTAAGAATTTAAGGGAAGAAGTTGTCTAGGAAATCATCTAAAAAGTTCATCTGTGAATTCTATTCTTCAGATGTAATTCAATTTGTGTATGTAAGAGTATGTTAAAGCATAAGCGAAAATAATAACTAATAATTTAATAAAAACAATAATTTCAACGATTGAAACGCAACCTCATAAGCCTTTGCAAAACCTAGTTGAAAGTCTAGTCAAAGTGCTCAAGTAGTTGCTCAATCAACTACTTTTAATGACGCTAAAACTTTTTTTAATAGTTTTAAAATCACATAATAAATCTATCAAATATACTTGGAAACACCAAAACACCAGGGAGTGTATCAACACTCCCTGGTGTTTTGGTGTTTGATGGCACATGTGGTACGTGTTACAATTGAAAAACAAGATAAAAAGACTTCAACTCGAATCCAAGAAAATAAAAATGATTTTATTGACACCTTTTATTTTAAAAAAACATTACTTTCTATTCAATAACTAAATGATCTCCTTATTATATTCTACTAAATTTTCATTTTTCTTTTTCTTTCAATACTAAAACTTAATAATAGTTATATAGTTTAAAACAATTTAGTGGTAGTCCAGAAATTACGTCACACAATTTTTGACCGCTTTTGATCCCTTTCCCACGACCTCGTGACATCGTAACTCTTTAGTAACAAGTCCCGTATAAGCCTTTACAAAACCGCTTACACCTCCCCAGCCCCCTCTAGAGCGTTACATAATTTGTGGACGACCCCTTAGTTAAGGGCAGAATTTTTGTTTATTTCAGAAAATCCTTGAAACATTTTTGTAAATTATTTAGTAAATTATTCTTTTATTCATTTATTTGTAAATTATTCTTTTTGAATTTGATTAATTTTAGATCCGATTAAATTGAAACTAGCTTTAGAGCCTGCACGGTCACTAGTTTTTGAGATACTCGCAAGTACCCAAAAGACGGATGCATATGACTTCATTGGGATTAAAATTCAAATCGCAATGAACATTCTTAAAACGTGTTTCAGCGAAATAAAAAAATCGTTGACATAGATTCGATGAGATTTAGTCTTGAAGAATAACGACAAGAAGAACTTTTAATTATATATGATTTATTGGATATATTACCTTCTGTTACATTTATATATATATATATATATATATATATATATATATATATATATATATATATATATATATATATATATATATATATATATATATATATATATATATATATATATATATATATATATTTACACTATGATATGCAATGAGCTTTCAAAATGTGAACATTTAAATTTAAATTTTTGTGTTTTTTGTGTTTTAATAACACGTTAAAAACTACATAAACAGTTCTAATAATAAAGAAGAGCTTTGCTAATCGACTAAATGATGCCATATTTTCATCAACTTTTATAATGAAGATCTAGCGAAGTATGAGATCTTGTTACACTTGAACGATTATTTGATAAAGGACTATTATTAGTGCTAAAAATAAAGACAAAAAAAAAATTAATATTAGTTAAGGTAAATATAATTATATATTTAATAAAACGATGACAATTAAAACAGCATCTTATTTTTATTTTGAAACAAAGAAAAACTTTTATTTTTTTTATTTATAAAATTTTTAAACGTAAATCATTTTCCGATAACTTATATGTAATATTAGAAAACAAAAACGACTTCATATTCTTCTGAACTTCTTATTAAAATACATATTAATCAGACATAAAAAATTATTATAAAAAGCATAAAATTTTTTACGGGGGTAGTTGGATTGTATTATATTTATATAAAATGTTTACGGGCCCAGTTGGTTCGTAGTATAGTTACTATACTACGAACCAACATTAAATTTACCATTTTTACCAACTGGAAACTCTTACGTTTCCAGTTGGTAAAAATGGTAAACTAAATGGTAAAATAAATGGTAAACTAAAAGTAAATAAGATTCTAAATTTTAAAAATTAATGAAATCAAATATTAATCTAAAACTTAAAAAATAAAAGTTAAAAATACTTTAATAACCAATAAAATCTCAAACCTTAATTTGTCTCTAGAAGAATTATTTAAAACATGGTTGAACGTGTCTGAGTAATTATTTAAAACATGGTTGAACGTGTCTGAGTCATTAGATAAGCATGTAAATCCATACTGTCTCGCACGAAAACCTGTTGCAGTATGTGGTCGCTGAGTTTTTTTTCTGCTCATTGTTGAAGAATTTTTATCGACATGAGTGTCATCCCAAATTCTATAACAAAAGATAAATCAAGTAAATTTTATACAGCATACCCTAAATTTATTGGGTACAAAAGTGATAAAACCTTGGTACAATCGCAGGTGTAAACATCGTTTTTGCAAAAAAAATTTGACACCCTAAATTTAAAAAATCAGCCGATAAATATTATATTTTATATTAATATATCAATTTGAAAGGATAGTAGTCTTTCTACTGCACTGGTAGACACTGATTAACATAAGCACACCCCAGCTAACAGCATAAATATTGAAAATCAGATTTTTTTATATTTAATCAACTTTTTTAAGCATAGAAACTTGAATAAAATGATTTTAGCGCCGTTTGAAATGATCTCTATTTATTGAAAACCTTTGTTTCTTCGAAGTTTGCTTCTTTATATAATTCTAATTTGTTCAGTTATTATATATCTTCATGACCATTTTCCTGATCATTTGTATATTATTGATAATCAATAAAGATCTGCAATCAATTTAAAATATCTTTTGATGGATATCGTAAGCTGTTTTTTTTTTTTAATTTAAACTTATCGAAATAAAAGTTGATAGTCAAATAAGATTTGACTATCACCTTTGTAAAGTAGCAAAAAGTTGTAAAGAAGCAAAAAGTTAATTATTTAAAAGTTATAAAATGTCTAACGTTTGTTAGATAAGAAAAGTTTTTCAGCTTTAAAAAAACAAACAAACCACTAGCTTGTTAATGCTGGTAACCTGTTTGTAACCAATCAGTTTGTTAAAGCTGGTTATTCAATAAGAAATAGGACTTTTTTCTTCTTTTTTATAGTTTTAAGTTTGAGCTAAATTTTGTATTTTAAAACTAATTTGAAATAAGTTAGAACAGATAAAGCTGTAAAAAAAAATTAAAATTTAACGACAAAAAAAACTTGCACTTTTGTAAAAAGGCTATTAAGTAGCAACAAGTAAGTGCCTGCAATTGTTGCTTCTCCATAACCGTAACTCTTCAAAGACGTCACTCATTATTTGTTCACCATTCGATATTGGTAATTCATTGTCTTCTCTGGTGCTTTTAAGCATCAAACAGTTGTCAGTATTTACATTTCTTTTATTTTTTAGCCGCAATCTTAGGGCTTGAACAGGATTTCCACACATTGGCAAACCTTATAATAAATAACTTTTGTTAGTACACAATACAGCAAGATTGAAAATTATTGTATTGGATATATTTACAATAGCAGAAAACTTAAACTGAATGACAATAATATTTAAATAATATTATTGTAACATTAGTAAAAATATTTAATATGAAAACAATTACCATTGGTTAATTGACTTGAAACCTCATTGTGATTGGTGGAACCTGTATTAATATTATTAGCCTTTTGGATCTTTTCATGTAATGTGCTGAAACCAATTCTTTTTAATTGACTTGGAGATTTGCTATTTTCTATTTCTATTATGAACAATAAAATTTGGCTGAATCTACCAGAAACGATCATTTTCAAAAGAAAAACATGCTAAAGATTTCAAAAAGATTTTCTCTTGAAACAAAATTTTTACTTACTGTCACTTGTTTCGAATTTTTCTAAATTTTTTAATCGTTGCTGAAGAAATAAAATATCTTTAGTGAATGATTTTTTACTTTCATCTCGAAAAAGGGTTTTTTCTAGCTTTTTACAAGTTTCATCAAGTATAGAGAGTTGAGGGAGTAGAGAAAGAACAGCATCTTCGTAAACATAGTTGTTCAAATCCTAGTAGTTAGTTTAAATCATATTAGTTAGTTTTAAAATTTAAAAAATTAAGCATGAAGATAATTTGTTTCTATAATTAACAAAACAAAGTTTATATTGCATCAAACATTGATTTTGAATTATAAACATTAATATATTAAACCAAACAATATTTATAATGAATCAAACCATAGTTATATTAAACAAGATAATATTGATATTGATATTATTTATGGTTTTTTGTGTAATTAAATAATTGTAATTTAATAATATATTTAATAAATTAATTTGAATAAAAATAAAAGAAATAAAAACCTGATAAATAATTGCAAAGAAGTTTCTAAATTTCTTGTTTATAATAATAAACAAGAATTTATTATTTGTATTTTTTGAATTTAATCAATTGACAATTTTTGTCTTTTTGTTTATTAATATGTATTTACTGAAAAAACAAATTTTAAAAATCAACAAATTTTACCTGTTTCTTTGATGATTTAGAGGGAAAATATTCGATGGGATTGCCCTTTAGCGTTAACGAAGTGAGATTTGCACAAAATGATAGAAATTCAACTTGTGAAATGTCATCAATATTATTTCTAATAAAATTAATTATAATAAAACTGAAAATCTTTAGATTTAATCCAAAATCAAAGAAACTTCTTTTTTTCAATGTAATTCGCATATGCCAAATAAAAATGAAACCTTATCAAAACTATTAACACAGCTGTTAATGTTTCTTAATACCTTTTAGTACTTTCTCAAGAAAGTAAATCTTGTCAATGTTAAAAAACTTCTTATGATGAGAATTCCAAAGTAAATCATTTGTAGTGAACCGCTAATTGGCAATGGATCAATAGAGGATAAGATGATAAATTGCTCCAGATCAACTGTTAATAGATGCATCCAATCCAATCAATAATCAAGAAAACCACATAAAAGACAAAAAGATCTATCAAATTAATAATCCTAAGAAGTGAGTTTGAAGCAAAAATTGTTCAATTTCAAGAGTTTAATAAGAAAAACTGCAGAATGACACAAATTATTCCCATTCAGGGATAAGTTCATTCAGGGCTAAACACCAGCGGATAGTGTTTTCATTCAGGGATAAACACCAGTGAATAGTGTTTTCATTCAAGCATAAACACCAGCTGATAGTGTTTTCATTCAGGGCTAAACACCAGCGAATAATGTTTTGATTAATGAATAGTAATTTTTTAAACTTCGGTTTAAAGTTTAAAAAAGATTCACTATTTGACTTGATTTAACTTAACTTGATTTGATTTAACTAACTTGATTAACTTGATTTAACTTAACTTAATTTGATTTAACTTGATTAACTTTGTCGGTGTTTATCCAGGGAATATTGAGGATCATGCAAAAGCCTATTTTATAAAATAAATAAACAAAAAGAACAAAAACATAGCAAAAACATAGCAAAGACCGAACAGAACAAAATTATAGCAAAGACCTAACAGAACATACATATAGCAACTTATAGCTTATCCAAAATGTAAGAAATTATTAAAAATCCTGATTTTATTGTTAATGTTAAGAGCTCATTTATATTATGCAATCACAACAAAGCAAAATATGAGCCAAAAATTCTTGATTGGTTCACTAGTTTACCAAAAAAATTCAAGAAAAATCTCAGTTAGACAAGCAGGTACCAACCAAGTGTATATTCACAAACAGGTACCAACCTAGTAAGTGACCGGGGTTGATATTTAACTGCGGCCGGATTTGATAAAACATATAGCAGAGGCCAGGTTTGTAACAGGGGCTGCATAAACATTTTTACATCTAAAAGTATATAATTTTCATTCAAAATTTATGTTATATTTTTTATATATACGCATATATAAACATCATTATGATCAACATGTTCATCATTATCATCATCATCATCATCATCATCATCATCATCATCATCATCATCATCATCATCATCATCATCATCAGGCTTTAGCCTTCCTGTTTTATGCTGTTTCTCTAATCAGGGTCAATGCTCAAACAAGCTATCATCTTTATTGCAATAAACCAAAACTCATTCTTGCTTGGTTTCTTATTCAACAAGTTGCATCCTTTTACTGTATCTGTGCCTTCATTCAATAAAAACTTTTAATAATTTAGTTTTATTCCTTGCATATCAAAAAAACCTTATAATTCTAACCCATCTTTATGTTTTCCTATTTTTTTTACAAATAACAACTTTTTAAGTCTTCAGTTAACCGTTTCCTTGCTTATTAACCTATCCTCTATTTTAAAGTAACTCATAACCTAATAGTGGTTGCTTGTAACCTTGTGGAAGTAAATTAGAGTTAAAAATATATAAATATATGCTAGTATATAATAAATAGTAAATGTAAGTATAAAATTTTAATATATAAAGTATTATAAATTTTTTACTAGCCCCGGTTAAAAACCCCTGCTAAATCTTATTGTTTTGCCAGGGTTGGGGCAGAGTTTGCAAAAAGTCTCATTTTTAGCCGCGGCTAGGGCCAGGGCCCTTCCTATATCAACTTAGTGTACAATCACAAACAGGTACCAATCAGGTGTATAACTTTAACATGTGTATAATCGAGAGATTAGTTCCATTCATTCAGGAACTGTATGAATGGAACAGCTCCTAACATGTTTTCTGGAATAAATCCAGAAAACATGTTAGGAGCTGATCTTATAGAGATTTTCTGGGCAATTTTTTTTTTTTTAGTTGAATAAGGTGCCCCAACAACTCCTTATGGTCTTATCACAGAACACCGCGGAAGAGCATTTAATAGGAAGTTCACGCCTCCTTCCCAACCGATGTCGCAAAACTTGCCCAGAGGTGGGGTTTGAACCACGGATCTTACATTTCTGAGGCAAGTGCGCTACCACTGCGCCACGGCTGCTTTATTTTAATTTTTAAACAAGTAGTGTACATGGCTGATGTTTATAACTAGAAATCTGGATTACTTTTAAAGTAATACAAAAATTAGCTTTAAATGACACACAAAAGATTTGACCAAGTATGCTGTTACAAACTTAAAATAATTTTTTTTTCTAATTTTGAAAATTTTTTATTGATGTGTTAATGCTTGCAGCTGTTATTCTTTTTTTTATTTCAATAAATATTTCTATAAATAATGATTTATTTAAAAAAACAGTGGTGCCAATTTTTATTTGACATATGTTTAAGTTAAAATTTTAATTGAAACAATGTCGAAAAATTTTAAATTATAAAAAAATGAAACAAAAATAAAAAAAGATTAAAAAAATAGAAATGGAAAAAAATGAAAATTATAATAAATAATAAACTATAATAATTATATAAAATAAAGTTAATTCAAATTATATTAAATTTAAAAAAATATAAAATAAAAACCCTTAAAAAAAAATCAATATTTAAAAGAGAAAACAAAGTAAAAAAAATAACAGTTAAAAAATCGAACAAAAAAATTTCATAACTGAAAATAAACCCTTCAAAGGTATATATACTCTCATGTCATTTAAAAATTAAAAATCAACTAAACCCTTCAAGATCTAAAATCTCCAGTTTTTCCATCATGCCTAATTGACTGATATTTGAAACTTCATTATATGGTAAATAAAGCTCCTAGAAAAAAAAGATGATTAAAATTAATAAAAAAAAAAAAAAGGAAGTGTTATTTAAAATTAAACAGAACTTGACTAGTTTAGATTATAATAAACTTTTGGATAATAATAGGGCTCAGTCAAAAATGTTAAAAATAACTGAGTGAAGTTAAAATCCCTCTGGATTTCTTTCTAAAAATAAACTGGATAAATGACATAGCATCATACATTTGCTAAGAAATTTATTGTAAAAGTGAGATGCTACATGTGTAACTGTTAGAACATTTAAAAAATAGTTAATTAGTTAATTTTTATCACTGGGCAACTCATTCTATTATCTCCTTATGAGGGTACAGCTCTAAAACTCAGTTTTATGGTTCTGAGGCCGGCTGGTAGTCAGGTTTCCCGAACTCTGTGGTAGCTCTCAGAGAGGCTGATTCCATCAACAGCCGAAAAATATCAGAGTACTAACAGTGCCATGTTGCGCATGGATGGTGTCCCTGTTTGTACTTTTGGTGTGCATTGCAGAGGCCACATTTGGAGCCCTTTGTTACGGCTTAGGGTTTATTAATAGTAATGAAGCTATTGCTTAGTTGTTAAATAGTGTACTGAGTACTATCTATACTTGAGTCAAGTTCTTTATAAATTTAAAATGACTAAAGTACCTAAAACTAAAAAACACAAAAAACCATCGTCATCACCAAGTTCTCTAAACCTATCATTTACTAATATTCGTGGTCTTCGAAGTAACTTTTCTTCTGTTGAGTCTTATCTCTTGCAAAGTTCACCAGACCTACTTGCTCTTTGTGAGACTAATTTGAGTTCGGCTGTCCCATCTTGTGATCTTAGTGTTGATGGTTATCTTCCTTTAATTCGTAAAGACTCCAATAATCACATGCTTGGCCTGGGCATCTACATTCGTAAGAACTCACCCATTTGTCGTGAAACTAGGTTTGAATCTACAGACTATTCATTTATGTGCTTTCGTTTAGCACAACTTCACTCTATCGCCTTTCTCTTTGTTCTATATCGCTCTCCTCCATCCCAAGATTGCACTATTCTTGATGTTATTTCTGATCAAATTGACCAAGCCCTCTCTCTTTATCCATCGGCTAATATCGTCGTTGTTGGTGACTTTAATGCCCACCACACCGATTGGCTTGGCTCTAGTGTCAGTGACTCTGCTGGCGTTAAGGCCCTCAACTTTTGCCTTTCTCAATCTCTAACTCAAATAGTCAACTTTCCAACTCGTTTTCCAGACAACCCTAATCATTTACCTTCTCTACTCGACTTATGTCTTGTTTTGGATCCTAGTCAGTGCTCAATTTCTCCACATTCACCCTTAGGTACTTCTGATCACGGTTTGATCTCTCTAAAACTATTATCAAATTCTTCTACTTCATCAGAATCCCCCTATCATCGTACCACATACAACTACCTTAAAGCTGACTGGGACTCTTTCCGTGATTTTCTTCGTGATGGCCCTTGGGTAGAAATCTTTCGTCTTCCTGCTGACAAATGTGCTTCTTACATAACTTCGTGGATTCAGGCTGGCATGGAATCTTTTATTCCCTCTCGACGATTCCAGGTCAAGCCTCACTCTTCTCCTTGGTTTTCCTCACATTGCGCTGCAGCAATTTCTAATCGAAACTGTTACTTCCATATCTATCAGCAAAACAATTCTCCAGAAAACAGACATCTGTTCACTATCGCCAAAAACCATTGTAAAAAGGTTTTGTCTGACGCCAAAGCTCGCTATTCCCAGGTCATTAAATCTCGTATCTCATCACAAAAATTAGGCTCTCGAGACTTCTGGAGAATCTTTAACAGTATCAATAATAAGGGCAAATCTGTTATTCCTTCTCTCTTGTATGGTTCAGACTTTGTCACCTCACCTAAAGACAAAGCTGAATTGTTTGCTAAGAACTTTTCATCAATATCATCTCTTGATTCCACTAGTTGCGTTTTACCTGACATAGCCGTCAAACAGGTTGATCCCTTGCTTGACATTCGCATCACTTCAGCTTCTGTATCTAAAGTAATTTCCTGCTTAGACTCTTCAACAGCTTGTGGTCCTGACAACATTCCTGTTGTAGTCTTGCAGAGGTGTTCTCCTGAGCTTTCATCCATACTCTCTAAACTATTTAACAAGTGCTTATCAGAGTCTTGTTTTCCATCATGCTGGAAAGCAGCATCTGTTATCCCTATTTTCAAAAATTCCGGAGAGCAATCTGATTCATCTAACTACCGTCCCATTAGTCTTCTTCCTGTCATAAGCAAGGTTTTTGAATCTTTAATCAACAAACACTTAATCTCTCATCTTGAATCAAATAACTTACTTTCTGATCATCAATATGGATTTCGGTCTTCTCGTTCTACAGCTGATGTGCTAACAGTAATAACCGATAGGTTTTACCGTGCATTAGATAGAGGTGGAGAGGTTAAGGCTATCGCACTTGACATTTCTAAAGCTTTTGATAAAGTTTGGCATGCTGGTCTTCTCCATAAGCTTTCTTCTTATGGTGTAGCTGGTAACGTCTTTAAGATTATTGAGTCTTTTCTTTCCAATCGTAGTATAAAAGTTGTCCTCGATGGACAACACTCTTCTTCACATCCTGTAACTTCAGGGGTTCCTCAAGGTTCAATCCTTGGCCCTATACTCTTTTTAATTTACATTAACGATCTTCCAGATATTCTCACATCTAAGGTGGCATTATTCGCCGACGACACTACCATTTACTCTTGTCATGATAAGAAGCCTACACTCTCTGATTGCTTGGAGGGGGTATCTGAGCTTGAAAAGGATCTCACTTCTGCTACAGCATGGGGCTCACAGTGGCTGGTGAACTTTAATTCAGATAAAACTCAATTTTATTCGGCCAATCGTTATCGTAATAATTTAGATCTTCCTATATTTATGAATGGTAATGTACTAGATGAGTCATCTACCATTCATCTTCTAGGATTAACTCTTACTTCTGATCTTTCTTTTAAATTAATTTTGCAAAATTAGCATCTGCTAAGGTTGCATCTCTTTATCGAGCTCAACACTTTCTTACTCCAGATTCTATTCTCTATCTCTATAAATCTCAAATCCGTCCCTGTATGGAATACTGTTGCCACATCTGGGGCGGATCTTCTAATGATGCTCTTTCTCTTTTAGACAAGGTGCAAAAACGAATTGTAAACATAGTTGGACCTGCTCTGGCAGCCAATCTCCAACCTTTGTCACATCGTCGTAATGTTGCTTCTCTTTCTCTTTTCTACAAATACTATAATAGGCACTGCTCTAAAGAGCTAGCGTCCCTTGTGCCATCTACTAAAATTCATTCTCGTGTTACTCGCCATTCAATTAAGTCTCATCCTTTTTCTGTGACTGTTCCTTAGTGCTTCAAAAACTCTTATTCTTCTAGTTTTTTTCCTCAAACATCAGTTCTTTGGAATTCCCTTCCTTCATCTTGCTTTCCTGATTCATATAATTTGCAATCTTTTAAGTCATCAGTCAATCGTAATCTTGCTCTACAGATTTAGTCTTTTCTCTTCCAGTAACTTCCAACTCTTATAGTGGTTGCTTGCAGCCTTGTTGGAAGTGAAGATGTTAAAAAAAAAAAAAAAAAAAAAAAAAAAATTAGTAAACAAGTATTAAAAAAATTAAAGGTAATAATTAAAAATTGAAATTAAGATATTATTACTAAATAATTCTATTAATTGTAGATAATGATTTTAAAAATAAACACATTTGTGCTCAATATTTTTGAAGTTTTTTTAATTTTTTTTATACTATTTATAGCAATTTATGCTAACTTATGCAGAAACACCGTTAATTATGCCACTAAAAACATGCTAGTTAAAAACTATCATTACTTATTTTATATTTTCAACTCCACAAGCAATTCAATAATATTCAAGATCACAAGAAATATACACAGATTACAAGAAAACAATTCTACAAAGTTATTATATATAATTTCAGAACATTCTAAGAATCTTAAAAACTCATAAAATGCTTGGGAAGACTCAACTTCAACAAATTTGAAGTAATTTCAAAGCAGTTATATGACATGAAATATGGAAATCTCAGATTAACTTAAAAAAAAAATCAAAAAAATATATATTGTTATCACAGGACAGTGCAAATTTTTTCAACATGATTAAGAAGACTAACATGTCCAATTAAATAAAATAAATATTATTAGACAATATATACATTATATATACAATATATACATATTATTAGACAATATATACATTATATATACAATATATACATATTATTAGACAATACATACATTATATATACAATATATACATATTATTAGGCAATGTATACATTGCTAATATCTATAAAAATACCTATTTAATTTAGAAATAACAAACAAACCCTATTTATGGAAATTTATCATTTATACTAACTACAATTATTTTATACAGAATTATACGTTTTTAAAACCTCTGAGACATGATTAAAAAAAAATGTTTGGGCTAAATTTTTTTGATTAAAACAAAAGAATAAATGCATACCAAGAAAAACTAACATTTTTATATTAGTTGAAGCTTGCCTTCTCCATTTTGTTGAAGGCCAAAAAGGAGTATAATATGCTGACTTTTTAGCCATCAACAAAACAGAGAAGATGAGTTTCAACTAAAATAAAAAAGTTAGTTTTTTTTTGTATGTATTTATTCTTTTATTTTAATCAAAAAAATTTTGCCTAAACATTTTTTTTTTATCATTCTCTTTAATATGAACACATTTCTCAGAAGTTTGGGATCCCTTTAATTAGCTAAAAAAAATTAAAAATAGAACAATAGAACAATAGAACAATAGAACAAAGAAAAAATGAAAAATAAATCAAAGAAATTAATATAACATTGTTCTTAACTTTAATGAAACTTAAAAATTGAATCAAAGAAAGTTTTACATATTAATTATATTAATTAATTACATATTAAACATATTAATTGCTAATACAATTAATTAATTTTAAACTTTATATTGTTAAGAGGATTTAAAAAGATGCTTGATACTAAAACATACTCCAACACAAAAAAACATACTCCAACACGAAAAAACATACTCCAACACAAAAAAACATACTCCAACACAAAAAAACATACTCCAACACAAAAAAACATACTCCAACACAAAAAAACTATTATAACCTTGATATTAGGGATTGACACAATTCCATCCAAATCACATAAACTGCATTGTGATAGCCACAGGATAGTCAAATTGCTCAAGTTAGTACCAAGATCCCTTTTGAATATTAAATTATAATAATTATAGAACTTTATGCTAAAAACTTAAACTAAAAAAAAAAAATGTAATATATGTAAAGTATGTGTGTGCATGTGTGTGTGTGTTTGTGTTATATTCCAAATGATATTGGTCAAAAGTCAGTGCAATTAACTAATTTAAATTTAATTTTTGGGCTGGCAATAAATTTCAATAAAATTCCTGCACACCAAAAAAAAACTTTGCTTTTATATTTTACATTTATTTGGTCTTAGTAAGCTCAAATATATTTTACATTAATTTGGTCTAAATAAGCTCAATTTACAATAATTGTACAATATCTTGAAAATGTTAGTGTGCAGCACTTAACACAATTCACTCTTCAGTTTCTTTTGTATCGCATTTTATCCCTCCAACTAGCATATACAATAGCATGTCAATATTTCATAAAAATTTTTTTTTTAAAACTTCATTATAAATAACATACCTGACAGATTGAATATGACTGTTGTTTAAATTGAGCATCTTCAAATTAGGCGCCATTTTTCCTTTAAAAAGTTTGGCAAATTAATAATAAAAATGGTTAACTCACTATTATAAAAGTCATCATAAAAATTGTACAGTCAACAAAATAATTATTAACTCATACTAATTCTTATTTTTATCATACTAACTTTTTCATCATAATAATTGTTATTTCATCATAGAAATTGTACAGTCATCAAAATAATTATTAACTCATAATAATTCTTATTTCATCATATTAACTCTTATTTCATAATAACAATCATTCATTTATCATGAAAATTGTCATCATAAGACATCCTAAAGATATATATATATATATATATATATATATATATATATATATATATATATATATATATATATATATATATATATATATATATATATATATATATATATATATATATATATATATATATATATATATATATATATATATATATATATATATATATATATATATATATAATTTTTGCTTGTCTTGTTTCTTAATCTGTTAACATAAGAAAAATTAAAAAGAAATAACTAGGTAAATTTTAAAAATTAGAAGTCCAATGTTTACAATGAAAAAAAGAGACAAAGCCCCCATCTTGAAATATCTATAGTCAAATAATCTTGGGATCCAATGATTTGTTTCAGAAATTGAAATAACTTAACAAAGATGGCTGACTGTGATGAAATCGTTGAATAAAAATATAAAAAGATTGATTGCTAAACTCGTTTTAATAATAAAAAAGCACCAAGTTTAAAAAATTTTCAGTTAATATGTTTAAATATAAATTTATGCATAAACTGTTTTTAATATTAAATACATTATTTCACAATATAGAACTAAATATACATACATCATCATAGGGTTTTAGTTGATAAGAATATGGCTACAACTTTAACTTCAAATTTCTGCATTATGCAATTACTTAATAATCTTAAATATTACCCTTGGCTGTTGCAGGCAGAGAATAACTATGTTTTAATGGTCTTAATTTATTATATGCTTCAGAGTGAATGAATGAATACAATATTTCAGATCAGTAAAAATAATGAGCAATCAATTTATCAATTAATAATCAATCATAATAATTCATTTATACTACATACATTACATACAAATTTGAATTAAGAATTTTGTCATAACATGTCAGTTAACAGGGAAAAAAATGTTGTTACTATATTCAAGCTTTATTATTTTGCCATGGTGAGCTAACGAGCTAGGTGATCAACTAAATGTTTTTATTTAGTCTGCATTTTCAAATTTTAAACAATAAAAAAAGATTTAATCTTCTTGTATTGATTAGTCAATTTGGTTTTTTAGATTTCTATAATAAAAATTATTTGTTTGCAGGCTCAACAGATGCAATGCTGTAGTTACAAGACAATAATATCAAAAATATTTCATGATATTTTCTGGCTAAATACTAATCACATTTAGTAATGCTTAATATATGAAATATATTTAGTATTACTAAGTATATTTTATAAATTAAATAATACTTGCAAATACTAAAGAAAATATACTAAAAACTGATTATACTTCTAATGTGCCCTTCGCAATTAACATTTTAAGTATTAGAAAAGTCATATAGCTTAATTCATTTAGCGTCACATTTTTAAAAAACAATTTTGAAAGAGCTGCACTGAGGGTGAACTTTTGAAATAGCTAAAATTTAATAGATAAAAGGCTAAACTAGAAAGAGTTTTAAATTCTTCACTGTCTTCATGCTTTCCTCGCAGACATACAATTTACAGTATTTTTAAGACTTTTATCAACTGTTTTCTTTCTTCTGGTTCCAGGTACCTGGCAAAACTTTGAGAAAAGGGGTCCCTGTGTTTGAGCCAAGTGTCCATCACATCTAATATTGATGCAATTACATGTTGATTGAACATGCATGATAAAAGCAACATGACTTTTAAATACAACAATCTGCAAAATGATAAAAAGCTTAATTAGAAAGACAAGATGAAAGCTTTTCATAGGTAAAAAAAAGAATCATGATTTTGAAAAAAATAAGAGAAGCAATAAGTTAATTTTACAGATTTTAGGAATGGTCATCATTAAGCAAGAAGAAATAAAAAAGATTCAGTGGGTGACTGAGTCTTTTTTATGTCTTCTTGCTAAATACTGACCTCTCCTAAAATCTTTAAAACTACTCACTGTGAATAGATTTAGTAAAACAAAAAAAATGCAATGTTTTATATTATCATAAATATTGCTAAAAATATTATGAAATAGCATGATTCTGGAACTAAAAATATTATGAAATAGCATGATTCTGGAACTAAAAATATTATGAAATAGCATGATTCTGGAACTAAAAATATTATGAAATAGCATGATTCTGGAACTAAAAATATTATGAAACAGCATGATTCTGGAACTAAAAATATTATGAAATAGCATGATTCTGGAACTAAAAATATTATGAAATAGCATGATTCTGAAACTAAAGGAGTTTAATAGAGTAAGAGGCCACATTATAATAGAAAAATTTGTTGCCTGATTGTTGGAAATTTGTTATCTAAATGTTAAATAACTTTGTAACTCGGTCAGACAAACTAAGATTTCAATCAAATATTCAAAGATTAGAGTCAATTTTAAATTTAAATTTCAGCATTTGAAAAATGCTGAAATTTAAATTTAAAATTGACTCTAATCTTTGAATATTTATGTCTAACTTTAAATATTAAACTTTCTCTAGTAAAATCAAAACTTAAAGTAAATTCAAATACATTAATGATCAAAAAGATTCATGCACTTGTAATTATTGTTGTGTGGAATAAACACATGTATTTCACACATGGTACATGGTCACTACACTAAACAATCAAAATAAGTGTGTGTATGTGTAGTTATTAACTAATAGAAAAAATCTTACATTCTCTATATATGTTAATATACATGATCTAATATCATGTGTACTTCAATCACAATACAATGAAAACCAGCCGATATACCATTTGGCTGTGAAAAACTTTTATTTTTCATACACAATGATGAAGCCAGTGAAAATATAACACACCTGACAAACATGTCTTACCATTTAAATTAGTAATTGATAAAACTATGTCAGCTAAAACTCTAAATTAAAAAGTTGATCAAATCAATCATATAGAATAGAATAACTACAAATACACTGGAATGATTCTACAATTTATCTTTGATAAAATGGTCTTTGAATATATAATCTTATATATAAACTTTATCACTATTGCTTTTTTTTAAACTATGGTTCCACACTTGCATGGTTTAAATGGGCTGCCATGTTGCCATTTTCTTATTTAATTTTTATATTATGGAGGTAAAAGCAATTTTTTACAACCAGATACCAATAACCTGTTTTGCATAAACTTGCTCTATAATAGGACCAGTTTAAAGTAATGACCATATTAGTTGTTAGTATTAGTATTGTTAATAAAAATTACTGGCATTAACACAATTATCACTATGTAAAGAATTAAAACTAAAATAAATAGCAAAAAACAAAAAGTGTAAAGCCCATCACAACTTTGTTAAACATCGCAAAAAATCTGAATAGAAAGCAGTCTAAAATTTGTAACAAAATTTAAAGTAAATTTATATACATTTATGACTAAATAAATCTCTAAATTTGTATTAATCTAACCATGTGTATTAACATATATATAGAATGTAAGATTTTTCTATTGGTTGATAACTACACATTTAACTACGCTTTTTTTGATGGTTCAGTGTGGTGACCATGTAAAATGTGTGAAATACACGTGTTTAACACAACAATAATTACAAGTATCAAAACAATTATTTCATGACCAAAACGAGTCAAACCCAATTAAACCAAAAACAAAACCAAAATACATCTACATTAAAATGTAGATGCATAGTATAGAATTAGATAAAACAGTTCAATTAAGAGGTAACTTTAAAGAATTTTATACAACTCTAATTCTTGAAATAAGAATCATGTTAAGAAATTTAGCATGAATATAGAAATTATTATAGACATTAATTAAATTGTATTACAATTTTTTTTTTAATCCACTTATTTAACCATAAAATTGAAAAAATTAGGTTTGGTCTCACTCCTATAGTTAAAAACTAGTCATTGGAGTGACACCTTATAAAATAAATAAATACACTTATAAACAGGTAAATATATACAATGCACAAAATTACACGACAGGATAAACAAAATATAGAAATACACAATATAAAAAATACACAAAAATACACAACATTCTAAACAATACACAAAAATACACGACAATATAAACAATGCTAAATTAATAAACATAACAACATAAATTAATAAAATTTAAAAGTTGTTCTTTTTATTTTCTTTTAATAACTTATTTAAGTTTTTCATTTTCAAATATATTACAAACATTTTTTCTTTTTTCTAAACAATTCTAAACAATTTTTATTTGTTTTTCTTTTCCTTATTTATCTAATTTTCAGCTTTTCGCCGTTAAAAAAATACTCCCTCCATTTGCGATATCATTGCAAAGTGAATTTTACAAATTGGTTATCAAACTTTAATTACCTATATTTTCAATGCTTGTGTCGGATGTATTGACTTTTAATTTTAACTCATATAAATCAAAAAGATTTGATACTCCTGCAATTTTTTTCTAAATAATACATAAAATATAATAGAAACTTTCAAAAAACTATTTAATCTATCAAATATTATATTTCGTCGGGGATAGTCCAAAAATCAGCATAACTAGCATTGGCTACTATATTTGGATATTATCAATTTTAACACCAAATATTTATTGTTGAGATTACAAAAATCATGAATAATACTCTTTTTACTAAAATGAACCCAAAATCAGTTAAAATAAAAAATAAATAAAGTTTTAAACTTCTCCAGTAAAAAAAAATGTACTGTAGATACGCGATATTATAAAATGCTAGTTACACGGTTTTTCACTATCCCCGACGATATACTATAAACATCATTTACAAATATTATTTTATGAATCAATTTATTTGGATTAAAATATGTTGATAGGTTTATCATCATATGAAAAGTCTAACCCTTTCCCATTACATTACCATTGTGCAAATTTTAACTGTGCAGTAGAGAAATGCATGGAGATGGGTTTTCACAGGAATCTGGCAGAGTCCGCAGGGATGGGTTCAGATATTGCAGGAATCCCACAGGGATGAAATGGATTTTAATAAAACATTAGTTGAAAATAAGATCAAATCATTATATATTCTCACAAAAAATTTCATTTTGTCTCACCTCATTAAAAATTAACAGTAAACGTAAATCAAATTGTTAAGCTTCAAAATGTTGTCATTATAATATATATATTAGTAAACTAGAATAAAATTATGTTGTTATAAAGAAACTCGCAGAAGAACTTTAAAAATACAAAATAAACTAAAAATTAAAAAAAAAAATTATAAAAATACACATTTACTTATTGAGGTCTACTGTTCAGCATTATTTTACTATGTATAATTGTTAACCATAATGATACTTTTTTTTCTTTCTTTCTTTTTTTATTTAAATAGTCATTGGGTAATTCCACATCAAATCACCCACTCCATTGAACCATGTGTCTTCTTTTTGTTTTAAATTTTGACACATGATTCCTATTTATAAAAAAATATTGCATGCAAAATTTCAGCTAAAAATGTCAAGCGGTTGACAAGATACAGCAAATTTAATTTGGACCTGGTTTCTCAAAATGACCCGGTTTTCATAACATTCTGAAAAGTTGTTTTCCTCAATAAAATATGAAATAAAAATGGCAAAAATATAAAAATATACATTTATAATGGTTTTTTAATGCTGAATTCAATAAATGTACTTAAAATGCTGAAATGTTAGAGGAACATCCTTAAAAATTAATAAATCAACTAGTTTATATAATCTAACTTTAGGGCCCAATATCTCAAAACACCCCCGTCAAATTTTTTTTTTTTTTGCTTTCAATATTTTAAGCTAGTTATAATCTTACTAGGCACAAAAAATCTAACTGGAAAAAAAACTGAAACATATAGAACTTTAATTTTAAAGATGTATAACTTTTTTAAGAAATTCCTAAAAAATATTTATAAATTCAATTAAAATAAATTATTCCTAATTTACAAAGTTACTTAAATATACAAGATTTTTAAAGGTATCGAATGTGCAAGTTATTTTGACTGTATTTGTAATAGTTCACAATATTGTTGCCATTTTACTTGCACTTCTTCTATTTCAACATTTTCAAACACATAGTTTCTACCAGAACTAGAGCAAGCTTGTGGAACAGATAGTTTTTTCAATATATTGATGTTAGGAATAAAACAGTGGTCGTCTCTTTCAGGCCAGTTAAAATAGATTGATGGACCTCTTGGGTGGAGAAACTTAACTTCAGCATCAACTTCTTCTAGGTTGATTTCAGTTACAATGCCGATCCACCACTTATCATCATAAACTACCGCAACATAACCTCCTAAAGTGACAGTATCAGGTTCAAATATATGTTTCTTTTTAAGATTGTGAATTATTGTATATTTAGTGTCTGTACTACACCTCTTCGCCCCAACCCTATTATCTCCAAGATGTATAAATTGATGAAAGCTACGAGTACCTGGTAGAGTTGTTACATCAGTGTACCTTTCTTTTTGCTTTTCACGTTGCAATTGTAAGTCCAATCCCTTTATGTAAATGAAGTTAACAGCCTTAATTTTCTCAACACAAAATTCATACATAGCCTCTGATGTGAGAATTTGGTTTCTGTATGGTCGTTTTAAACTTTCTTGTGCTGTTAACCTTTTTACAGTACCACCAATTCCATCGCATGGTGACTTTCCGTGGGACGTGGCAAAAAAGTTCCATTCAATTTTGAGGGAAAATTCTGTCTCTAGTTGGCATAGATTGTAAAAGCTTTTACAATTTTTGTACTGTCCTGCACAACCATCAGTGAATAAATGCAATTTGGATAAATCAAGAAATTTTGTTTTTAATATTGGTATAATTAGTTGAAATATCTTGTATACATAAGTTACATCGTGTATAATGTCGTCTGATATAAAACAGTAAGAAATATGTTTCACTACACCATTTTCTTCTTTATAGTATATCACTAATGGATGTAAAGAACATTGTTGGGTGTTCCAGTGATAGCTCTGTATTTCATCTTGGACTACAAAAGCATAATTTTCAGCAAAGTCGCCAAGAATGATAATGTTTGATTGATCCATATTTTCTTTTAGTTGATTAAGGTATTGTGATTGAGATTTGGCAATATAAGAATGAGATTGTAGCTTTTCAAAACAAGATACCAATAGTTCAATAAACGTTGGAACATCTGTTGTTAAACTCAATAGTGTTGCACGATCAGTAGTTTGCCATTGTTTGTAGTGTATCTCAAAATCATCTTCGTATTCTCCAAAAATCTCATACAAATACATGGTGAGCAGTTCTTTACCAGGACAATTATCACACTGTGCAAGCATGCATTCTTTGTTTTCTACTGAGCAAACAGTTTTCAAAAGTAAATCCTTATACGTTAGTTCAATATTTAAGGCATCCACTAGCAAAATGGCATTTTGGTGATAAGAACAAACACAAACAGAATGTGTACCACTTGCACCTGGCAAAATGCACCACTTTGGTCTAAGTGAAGCAAATTTTGAGTAACTTATTTGTATTTCTGGATTGTTTTCTTTGTATAATACATATAGTTCCTTTAAATTACACAAAAGCAGTTTTTTTTGTTTGTGGACGTTCTTTTGAATGCTGACATAATCTTTTTTTCCAGGCATAGTTCAACATAAATCACTTGAGTCATAAAACAATTTAACTGAATCTTCTATTTCTTTATGTAAGACTTTACCCTTATACAATGGAGAGATACCTAACAATCCTTTTTTATTAAAAATTTTTCTAGCCATCTTGGCCTGGTATTCTGTAACCGAAAAGTTATTTTGTACTTCTAATATTGACCAACTTGGGGGTGCCAGTGTTAGAAGTTGAACAATAGTTCGTTTGTCAGAACATAGAATTTTTTCTTTTACCAAGCTCATAATTTCATCAAAGTTTGCAGCCTTCTTTTTCATCCCATTGGTTTCATAACATAGTTTTGAGGAAAATTGAGTTTCAATTTTTCTAGTAGCGTTATACGCCATTTCGTTGATGCATGCAACTTTTTGCTTTCCTTCTGACAGTATATGTTTTAATGATTTTGAATGAGATTTTAGAGGAGATAAACTAAAATTTTTGAGTTCTTTATTGATCTCCTGTCTTATTTTTTTGCATGGTGATATTAGAAAATCCTCATCTTGTTCACTCTTACTTTGCTCCTCTTCTGTAAGTTCTTTTTTTCTGGCAATCTTTTGTTTACAAGGTTTGCAAAGTTTCTTCCCAGGAGGAATATTCAAACAATTTCTCATCATGACTTGTGACTCTTTTATTGTAACTACGCCAAGATTTTCTAAAAGTAATTGAATTGTATAAAGTATGTCTGCACATTAGTTCAAAACTTTCGTTTATTTTTTGAAAAACATAAATTAATGAAATATTTAAATTTTACAGCTACATACTTGTGATTTTCTTTGTATGTCTATTGAATGGATCACAACAAGCTTTCTGCCATATAGGATACATTTTCAAATATTTTGTATTATGTCTTTCACATAATATTTCTAAGTTTGATAATTCAATATTACAGCGTAAAGATATAATTATTTTTTCTTCATTGCTTAAAGTTTCAATAACATCTTGTTGGCCTTCGCAAGCATCTGATGTCATTAACCCAATAGAACACATCTTAATAAGATAAATTATTTAGTATGAAAGTATTTCCTAAAAATAAAAATAAAATTCTTCTACTTAATTGTATGTAAAAAAAGTTTTTTAATAATATAATTTTTAATAAATGTTGTTCTTAATATTATTATTATTAATATTAATAATAAATGTTGTAAAAAAAGAAGTTTTTAAATAATTATATTATTTAAATTATTAATTTTTTAAAATTTAAATATAATCTTACCAATAAATGTTGTTCTATATCTGAACTTTTATAAACTAAACTTTTATAAACTAATTTTTAATAAACTTTTACAAACTATAGTTGTCAAAATTAAAAAAAATATCATATTAACATAACAATTATTTTTTATAAAATGTTTTTATATAAAAACAAAACCGGATGTTTTTTCAGTTGTTAAGTTCATATAATTAAGTTATCATATAATTAAGACTTCCTTAAATATATAAAAAGTCTATTAACCAAAATTAATTCTTTACAGAATTCTATAATTTGCTACACATGTACTATCTTTAGGAAGATTTTTAGCAGCTTTTAAGTGATGCCATACCCTTTTAATTTTTTAATTAGTTTGCAATGAAGTGTATTGAATGCTTTTGCAGTAAGAAAAAAGCAATTCGAAGGATACAAAAAAAAAAAGAACTTTCCTACTTAGTTTTCAGTAAAAAAAAAAGCTCTAGTTTTAAATATATTAAATAATGATATAGTATTAGATATTTCCAAATCTTTGGCTGTAGGATAATTGGAGCTTGATAAGAGTTAACAATGATGTCTCAACTTATCATCTACAACTTATCACTACTAAGTAACTACTGTTCATACAAAGTAGTTTGATATGTTTTATTGGCTAAATGGTTTAAATGACAGAGATATGGCAATGCCAGGTGTTATTGAAACACTATTCTCCTCCCCTCTAACTGTAATAAAAAAAAGTTGTTTTCACCATATCTTTTGCAATATGCTTTTTTTTAAGTATTCTTGGTAAATTGAACTAAATTAGAACATCACTAAAAATATTTTGTTGTTCCCTCACCCCTCCCCCTCGTTAGAAAATTGCTATGGGCACCCATAAAAGTGGTGTATCTTGGAAACTATGGTTCTATATGTTTTAGTTGTTTTTCCAGTTAGGTTTTTTGTGCCTAGTAAGATAATAAGTAGCTAAAAATATTAAAAGCAAAAAAAAAAAAATCTAGACGGGGGTGTTTTGAGATATATGACCCCTAAGTTTGAATATATAAATTAGGTGTGTTTTTAATTTTAAAGCATGTTCTGCTCATATTTCAGCATTCTAAGTGCATTTTTTGAATTCTGCATTAGAAAAGCATTATAAATGCTAATTTTCATATTTTTATTTTCATTATTTTTCATTTTATTAGAGCAAACGTTTTTTTAAAATGACACAGAAACCAGGTCATTTTGGGAAACCAGGTCTATATTAAAACCTTGATATCTTGTGAACGGCTGAACATTTTTGGCTAAAATTTTGCATGTGAACTTTTCTATATGAAATGCAACAGCTAAAGAAGTTTAAAGAAAATATGAGACCTATGGTTCAAAATCTTGAAAAATTTGGGTGATTTGATGTGGAATTACCCCATTATTATTAATTATCTTTTATATTTAACACATACCGATAAAATTAGTTTTGCTAATTATGAGATCTATGGATAGTTTGATCTGTTTTTTTTGCAAGGACTTAAACATTTACTTTACTTTTTTTTATTTAAAAATATATGGTTAACATTTTTTCATTTGAACATGTTTTTTTTTTTTTTAGTTTTTAAAGTTCATTAAGCTCTTTTGACAATATTTAAAAAAAAATTTTATATTTTTATTTCATGTTTGCAGGGATGGGAGGGGATAGAACAAATTCCTGTCTCCGTGCATCTCTCTACAGTGCAGGTGCTAAGAAATATACAATATAAATATATATATATATATATATATATATATATATATATATATATATATATATATATATATATATATATATATATATATATATATATATATATATATATATATATATATTAATAATAAGTAAAATACTAATTTTTGTGCTGTAATCAATTCATTGAAAACATTTTCATCACTCTTTGTTATTGGTAGTGGGTTATTTTCAGTAGCATCAGGTATATCGATTATCTGGATAACACTATTTGGTCGAGCACTTAAATGCATTGCAATAATAGGATTTCATACCATAAAATAAATCTAAAAGTAAAGTATCAAACGCTTTAGCTTAAAAAATAGAAATCACTGAAGTAAACTTTATATAAACCACTGAAGTAAACCACTGAAGTAAACATATCTCCAAATAGGACCTCTAAAATGGAAAACTATGGAATTACTAAAATGGAACTCAAAACAATCAAAAAAAACTATACAGTCAAACAGTAATGATAAAAAAAATTAAACTTTGATCAAGCAATATTAATATAATATAATAATAATATAAGATTTATTAATTCATTTTTAGATTTTAAAATAAATGAGTTACTATTAGTTTTAAATCACAAAAATTAGTTGCGGTTTTATGAAAATATTTTTTTTGAAAAAAAGCGTGAAATTTTTATCTTTTATGCATAGCTATAGTGAACAAAAACTTTTAAAATTTCATGAGCTTACAGGATTAGTTTATATATTTAAACTATTGAACAGTAAAACTTTACAAAAAAATAAATAAAATAAAGATCAGCCTTTATAGTACACTTTTAACCAGGCTTTAAAATAACAAGGTAAATTTTTAACATTTAATACTTTTATTTTGTACAAGAAATGTGACATAACTTAGGGAACCTACGAGAACCTATATTAAATACTTGAACTAGTAAATGTAATATGAATACAACCTATTTGAACAATATACATTGCACCTAACTTTCTCTTTTGGGTTTCTTTAAAATTTTGAAATAATGATTTGTAACTTATGTTATTTGCTTGAAATCAACTTTTATTTCTTGTAAACAAAAATACATGTTATTTTGTTTGTTATTTAATACAATACAAATTGCATTGTATTGTATTAAATAACAAACTTAAATTGTATTAAATAACAAAATTAAACTAGTTCCTAACGATATACCATTCTTTTCATCGAAATTAACTGTTTTAGTTTCTGCAGATATTAGACTAGAGGATTCTGAGTGAAAAACTTTATAAAATTATAATGTATAAAGTTAATAGTTGCAAAACAATGATAATACTCAATTTGAGAGGAAAATTGGCTAGCTCAAGATTTTAATACACTTATGGTACATTAAATGCTACATCATCAGTTAATGAAGTTGGCTTTTTTGAAAATGCTTGAAACAGAACAAAAAGAATAAGCTTAACAATGTTATTAATATTTTATTTAGCCATAAATTACTTCATGCAACAAAAATGAAACTAAGAAGTGAGTTTAAGTACAAAACTGGCACAAAAATTTCTGTAATTTGAAATATAAGCCCCATTAAACCTGCTTAGATATTTTCACCAGATGAAGCTTTAACATTAATTATTAATGGTGATATATCAAAATTAACATACCAGTTTCTAAGGAATGGTGCTGAAAAAAAACGACTGCCACATATATCCTTTATATAATGGTATAAGATCTTCAAAAGATAAATGCTATCCCAAGAACATTCAAATAAATGGCTATTCAGCACAAATACACTAAAAGATCTTCTAAAACACACTCTTAAAAAGCTATGTGGTATACAAACTACTGTGCTAATCACAATGCTAAGGAACTAACTAAACTGACATTTAGATACAAGGCTGGTTTTGATAGTACTACAGGATATAGTGTTTACAAACAGGCAAATTAAAATGAAAATGATTATTTGCATAGTACCTTTAGAACTCAGTAGGCTTTATAATAATAAAAACTTTGCAATATTATTCATCCAGAATGTGCAGCAAATTGATTAAAAAAATAAAAAAATACATTATTATATATTGAGATAATAAATGATCTACAGACTTATTCAAAATGCTGAGCACACATAAAAATATCAATAATAGAATTTCAAATCTATATATCTATTTATATTTTCTTTATATTTCTATATATTTTAAATCTATTATATTATAATATCGATAACAGAGTTTCAAATCTAGTGATAAATTTTTTTCTGAAGAGTGCATTTTTTTTTTTTAAGTTTATTGCATCAATTTTTTTTTGAAGAATTTGTTATTCATCTCTCCACCAGAATAGCTTCTTATTCACTTCTCCACCAGAAGAGCTTGTTATTCACTTCTTCACCAGTAGAGTTTGTTATTCACTTCTCTGCCAGAAGAGTTTGTTATTCACTTCTCCACCAGAAGAGTTTGTTATTCACTTCTCCACCAGAAGAGTTTGTTATTCACTTCTCCACCAGAAGAGTTTGTTATTCACTTCTCTGCCAGAAGAGTTTGTTATTCATTTCTCCACCAGAAGAGTTTGTTATTCACTTCTCCACCAGAAGAGTTTGTTATTCACTTCTCCACCAGAAGAGTTTGTTATTCACTTCTCTGCCAGAAGAGTTTGTTATTCACTTCTCCACCAGAAGAGTTTGTTATTCACTTCTCCACCAGAAGAGTTTGTTATTCACTTCTCCACCAGAAGAGTTTGTTATTCACTTCTCCACCAGAAGAGTTTGTTATTCATTTCTCCACCAGAAGAGTTTGTTATTCACTTCTCCACCAGAAGAGTTTGTTATTCACTTCTCCACCAGAAGAGTTTGTTATTCACTTCTCCACCAGAAAAGTTTGTTATTCACTTCTCCACCAGAAGAGTTTGTTATTCACTTCTCCACCAGAAGAGTTTGTTATTCACTTCTCCACCAGAAGAGTTTGTTATTCACTTCTCCACCAGAAGAGTTTGTTATTCACTTCTCCACCAGAAAAGTTTGTTATTCACTTCTCTGCCAGAAGAGTTTGTTATTCACTTCTCCACCAGAAGAGTTTGTTATTCACTTCTCCACCAGAAGAGTTTGTTATTCACTTCTCCACCAGAAAAGTTTGTTATTCACTTCTCCACCAGAAGAGTTTGTTATTCACTTCTCCACCAGAAGAGTTTGTTATTCATTTCTCCACCAGAAGAGTTTGTTATTCACTTCTCCACCAGAAGAGTTTGTTATTCACTTCTCCACCAGAAGAGTTTGTTATTCACTTCTCCACCAGAAGAGCTTGTTATTCACTTCTTCACCAGTAGAGTTTGTTATTCACTTCTCTGCCAGAAGAGTTTGTTATTCACTTCTCCACCAGAAGAGTTTGTTATTCACTTCTCCACCAGAAGAGTTTGTTATTCACTTCTCCACCAGAAGAGTTTGTTATTCACTTCTCTGCCAGAAGAGTTTGTTATTCATTTCTCCACCAGAAGAGTTTGTTATTCACTTCTCCACCAGAAGAGTTTGTTATTCACTTCTCTGCCAGAAGAGTTTGTTATTCACTTCTCCACCAGAAGAGTTTGTTATTCACTTCTCCACCAGAAGAGTTTGTTATTCACTTCTCCACCAGAAGAGTTTGTTATTCACTTCTCCACCAGAAGAGTTTGTTATTCACTTCTCTGCCAGAAGAGTTTGTTATTCATTTCTCCACCAGAAGAGTTTGTTATTCACTTCTCCACCAGAAGAGTTTGTTATTCACTTCTCCACCAGAAAAGTTTGTTATTCACTTCTCCACCAGAAGAGTTTGTTATTCACTTCTCCACCAGAAGAGTTTGTTATTCACTTCTCCACCAGAAGAGTTTGTTATTCACTTCTCCACCAGAAGAGTTTGTTATTCACTTCTCCACCAGAAAAGTTTGTTATTCACTTCTCTGCCAGAAGAGTTTGTTATTCACTTCTCCACCAGAAGAGTTTGTTATTCACTTCTCCACCAGAAGAGTTTGTTATTCACTTCTCCACCAGAAAAGTTTGTTATTCACTTCTCCACCAGAAGAGTTTGTTATTCACTTCTCCACCAGAAGAGTTTGTTATTCACTTCTCCACCAGAAAAGTTTGTTATTCACTTCTCCACCAGAAGAGTTTGTTATTCACTTCTCCACCAGAAGAGTTTGTTATTCATTTCTCCACCAGAAGAGTTTGTTATTCACTTCTCCACCAGAAGAGTTTGTTATTCACTTCTCCACCAGAAAAGTTTGTTATTCACTTCTCCACCAGAAGAGTTTGTTATTCACTTCTCCACCAGAAGAGTTTGTTATTCACTTCTCCACCAGAAGAGTTTGTTATTCACTTCTCCACCAGAAAAGTTTGTTATTCACTTCTCTGCCAGAAGAGTTTGTTATTCACTTCTCCACCAGAAGAGTTTGTTATTCACTTCTCCACCAGAAGAGTTTGTTATTCACTTCTCCACCAGAAGAGTTTGTTATTCACTTCTCCACCAGAAGAGTTTGTTATTCACTTCTCCACCAGAAAAGTTTGTTATTCACTTCTCTGCCAGAAGAGTTTGTTATTCATTTCTCCACCAGAAAAGTTTGTTATTCACTTCTCCACCAGAAGAGCTTGTTATTTACTTCTCCACCAGTAGAGTTTGTTATTCAGTTCTCAGCCAGAAGAGTTTGTTATTCACTTCTCCACCAGAAGAGTTTGTTATCCACTTCTCCACCAGAAGAGTTTGTTATCCACTTCTCCACCAGAAGAGTTTGTTATCCACTTCTCCACCAGAAGAGTTTGTTATCCACTTCTCCACCAGAAGAGTTCAACGCTTCAATTCATTCAGTTCAACGCTTTTTCAAGTTATAGGATTTAAAATTAAAAAATTATTTTAACTTGCTTAAAAAAACGAGTTTGCTACCGACAAATACGAAAAGGTTTTAGTCGATCTTGCAGAATCCACAAAGAAAATCACAGTGGCAGATAATAAAAGTTACAAAAATACTTAAGCTGAAAGTAAAGAAGTGAACAATAAATTAACTGAACTTGAAGACTTGCGAAGACTTGAACTTGAAGAAGTAATAATCTGAAGTTTATTGGTGTTACAGAAAACGAGAATGAAATTTGGGAAAAGTGCAAAAATAAAATACAAAACTTGGAATCAAAGATAATATAGTTATTGAACGAGCAATTTACAACTGCTTTTTTAAAGTTTTATAAAGTTTGTTAAATAATTTTTTGGTTTTAGCAACTACTTAACTAAAATTTATAACTAACTAAAAGTAAATATATCCTAATACAAAGTAATTCTTTGGACATAGCAAGGGTTTTAGTAAAGAAAAAAATAGATACAAATAATTTTGACCACTATATGTCTAATATCCAGCCCACTGTGCCCTGCCCTAAAACTTCTCCTTTTTTTAAAACTGATATTTTTTACCATATTAATTTTCAAAAGTCTTTATTAGCATCATTAATAAAGGCAAGTTTAACATTTTTTCAAATGCAGGTCATATTGAATTACCTTGCACAAGTTAATCTACTAAAGGTTCAGTTGTTAAAATAATTTCATACTTAAACATTTAAAGTGGTTTTGCCATTCCTATTAACATGTTGGCAAAATTCACATTTAAACTATTTAACAACTAATAAACTGAATTTTGTTTTCTTTTCCGCTATAAAATTACATCTACTGATACTTTTTTTTTAAATTATGGATATCGCTAGGACAATTTTCTATTATTTTCTTTCTTCTATTAGCAAGGTTTTTGGGGTCTTTAAGTAGTAAACTTCTAATGCTTGATTAGGATTCTAATAGCTTACTCTCTGACAAGCAATACTGATTTTGATCCTCACAGATAAGTTAATAATTTATGAGTTTTTTAATTATAAAAAAATGGTTTTATTGTGCATTAGATATAAGTCATGAGACAAAAGGCATTGGTTTTGATTTACAAAAAGTTTTTAACCTATGTAAAATACTGTAAAATTAACAGTAAAATACATTAAAATTAGTAGAAAATATATTAAAGATTTTCAAGATTTTAAAGGCTTTTGATCAGTCAAGAATGCTGGTCTTGTACACAAACTTTTATGATTAATTTTTTTTTTTTTAATAGAAAACACTTTTAGCCATTTTCAGTAACCTCTTGTATATTTTTATCATCTCTAATTGGCAATCATACAAATATACTCATTTGGTAATGATACAAATATATCATTTGGCAATGATACAAATATAGCTCTATATTGTGATGATACAAATATACTTTTTGGAATAGTATATATTTTGATCATCAGATATCAAAATTATGTCCATTTATTAAATCTAGAAAAATCTTCTAGTTTTTATAAAGAATCATATTTTGATTCCTTAGAAAAGGCAGCCCATTCAGAATATGACTTTTTTCTCTGTGGCAGGGCTGGGCTTTTTTTCTCGAACATCAGTGCTTTAAAAATTTTCTCTCATCTACATATTTTCATGAATTGTACAACATTAATAGTGGCTGCCTGACTGAAAACTAAAGATATATTTTATCAATTTTTGTTTAATAGTGTTTTAAAAATTGTAATTGGAAAATATTTCCTAATAAATAATTTTCCTAATAAAAAATCACAAATTGTTAAAACTTATGAAAGTACAAAAAAATTTATATATATATATATATATATATATATATATATATATATATATATATATATATATATATATATATATATATATATATATATATATATATATATATATATATATATATATATATATATATATACATATATTGCGCAAACAATACCTTGTGACACAAATGTGTACTCTTAATGTTTAGATTCTATGTAGAAGCAACAATAGTTCTAACATTGTAGCTCTTGATATGTAAACTTTTAACTATAAATTTAAAATATAAAGTGTAAATTTTCTGAGAACTTTGCAACATAGATTTGCAAAGAAAAATGTTACAAAGTGTATTTGTAGTTTTCTTTATCAGAATATCTAAAAAAAAATGGCATTGGACATTGCAAAAATGCAGGAATGTGTAAAGAGTAAAGAAAAATTTTCCACATATTTTTCCCGCATTTAAGACGATTAATTTTTCGGCATTTCCGCATTTCGCAAAGCGCTTGATCCGGTACTGAAAGTTTCCATTCTTCTTTCTCCTTTAAGTGATTTTTATCAAGTTTGCAATAAACGTGGATTAAATCCTACAAAAATGAATAACTTCGTAATTTTTTACAATAGACAACCAAATCAGATGTCTTTGGACCTTGAAATTCACACTCTTCATCTCTGGATTAGGTGTCTTGAATGTCTGTAACATATAAGACAGAAGAAAACCAGAATATAATTATTAGGGATTTTTTCATGCAAACACTCCTGAAAAGAAAATAAAAGTTGCAAAGAGAAAAAAAAGAAATTCAGAAAAAAATTAAAGATGCACTCGGACTTATTGCTAATGTACCAAAAGTTGGTGGCTCTGGTACATCCAATGATAGTAACACAGCAAGAAGGGCATTTAACTTAAAACTTTTGCTGAAATGTTTAAAATTAATAAGGGTATTGTTAAAATATTTTCATTATTCTTTATGTGCTGTCCTGTAAGCACCCAATTGATCCAGATAAACTCTGAATATATTGCAAAGATATATTTAAGATATGTTAATAATATTTTAAATAATATGTGAATTTTAAATAATATGTGAATATTTAAGATATGTAAATAACATTTTAAATAATATGTGAAAGTAGAAACAAAGATGTTAAAAATTTTCTAAAACATTTTACAAAAAAATTTTCTAGAAAAAATACAAATGAAGATTTAATGCAAAGATTGCTGATCAGACCCCTTTATTACTTCCATGAGGTGAAGTTCTTAATCAAACAAGACTCTTTTATTACTTCTATGAGGTGAAGTTCTTAATCAAACAAGACTCCTTTATTACTTCCATGAGGTGAAGTTCTTAATTAAACAAGACTCCTTTATTACTTCTATGAGGTGAAGTTCTTAATCAAACAAGACTCCTTTATTACTTCCATGAGGTGAAGTTCTTAATCAAACAAGACTCCTTTATTACTTCCATGAGGTGAAGTTCTTAATCAAACAAGGAACTTGCTCTAAAAGCAGAATGTTTAGACATTCTTTTGTAATTTTCTTTATACAATTATATTCTTTATTGTATTCTTAATTGTAGTATTGATAATCGTTCCTAAGCATATTTACTTTACTTGAAGAAATCTGTAAAAAGCTGCATGTTTACAATAGCACTTTTAATTTTGAGTAGAGATGTGACACCTTTTTCATTGCTGTATTTTAAAAACTTAAACCCTTTATAGTTATGTATTTTTAAATAGCTCAAAAATTTAAATAAAAAAATATTAAAGAAAATTTATTCTTATTTATAATCTTGGTGTAAAACCAACATTCTTTTTAAGTAGTCGTATGTTCTTGCTGCGCTCCCATATGAATAAAATATTCGTGTCTAGGAAATTATAAAATATCTATTCTTGATGGTTTTGTTTAATATTCAACCAGAAAGTCTTAAAAACTATTAAAATCAGTATTATGGAAAAATGGTTTAATATTTAGATATAAATATAAATGCAAAAAGCATGTCACAAAAGTTATGTCATGTGATTTTGGTGTATTATTTTAGAATTGATTTATTCTATACATTAATATTCGTAATATTTGTAAATGTACCATAAATTATGAAAATAATTAAATTAGTTTAAATATTTTCATGCTACATGTTTCATATGTCGTGTCTACTTTTTGTCCTTGGTGTTGTCCTGGGTATGCTACTCTACATGTTTATGCAATCTATCAAGATATCATAAACGTGTAATTTGTCCTCCAGAGAATATTTCTTTAAAAGGTATTTCAAAAGTGATAATTTTAAAATGAGTACGTTAAATGTAAGTTATTACGCTATGTGTTTATGGTGTTCTGCACATGTATGATATTTATTCAACCAAACAAAAATGTATCATACATGTTGGTGAATATTTATAGTTAATAGAAAGTTGAAAGTTAAATATGAAACACGTATCATATGTTTATTATTTGCTTTTTTATTTATCCTTGGTTTCGTGTTATAACAATAATAGTTATAGTTGACCAGGATATAATGAACATTCACCAAATATTTTAGCTTTTTATCTTCAAAATTGGCGAAGATATGGTTTTTGCTTTAAAAGTGATATCACCGTGCAGCCAAATCCGGCGCGATAGGAGTGTGTGACACCCCCCCCCCCCCATCAAAGATTTTTTGTCGGCAAACTGGACCCTTAGTCGGCTATTAGACCCTTTTAGACCCTTTTAGTTAGTCGGCAAATGTCGACCCTTTCGATATAGGTTAGACAGTCGGCAAATGTCGTCATGACAGTCGGCAAATTTTGGAAAACGAGGACCTTTTTTTTTTTTTTTTTTTACAGTCGGCTAAAGTTTTAAAGGCACCCCCCACGTGACACCTACTCGCGCCGTCAAAAGTTGCTCAACTATATAACAGTTCCTATCATTAACAGTTCCTAGATTTACATATGGACTGGAGCTATTCAAATTAAGCACGAGTTATCTTAACAACATAGATGCTGTTGTAAGAGCAGTTTTTAAATCTTTTTTTTTTTTAATCTCAAAATATAGTAAAAACTCCCAGCATTTATTTTTTAAAACAGAGGATGTTTCAACTATTCTATTTCGAAAAAAAGTAAATCTTTTTATCAGACGGATAAAAAATCAAACGCGTACTCACTGGTATTGAAGCAGTTACTGCCAACACAAAAAAAAATCTTTTACAAATGAAGTGATTGCTACATGTACTACTCTTGGTAAACTACTTCCAATGCATGATAGAAGGGAAAAAAATTAAATTTACACAACTTATGGAGAGCTGACAGTGGATGTTGCAACATATAGTTGTTTATTGAAAAGAAACCTGATATATTGACGCTTAAGGTGGTAGATTCTCGTTCAAGCTATTATCTTTAAAAAGTACTATAAAAACTTTCCTATTATTTAACCAATTTTTTTGTATTGATAAGACTATAAAACAAATATAAAAATAATTAAAAAAATTAATATAACATTGCTAATTGGGGTAAAAAGGCAAAAAAGAACCTTACAACGGTACAAAGATAACTCCAGTTGCTATTAAATTTTGCAGGTTGCATTCATACATGGGTGTTAACAAAACGTACCAAATTGGTGAAAAGAAAAATAATATTTAAAATTCTATGGTATTTTTCTTTAAGTTTATGAATTTCACGATAAAAAACTAGACATAACTATCAATAACTTCCTTTGTCTTGACAGATTAACGCTGATTTTGGTACATTTTGTTAACACTAGTTTATTAAACATATTGTGAAAAATTCAAATCAGTTGGACTAGTAAAACTGAAGACACCTTTGTACCAAGTATGAAAATGTAGATTCAGAGAAAACGATTGTTTAAAATTTTGTATAAAAATGCAATTAACTTATAACGCACCTATAGCTTATTAGTTTTGTATATCTGCGTTATACAAATAAGCTATAGGTGCGTTACGTAATGTAAACTAGAATTATTTAAGCAGTTAGAAGAAGAAGAAGAAGAAGAAGAAGAAGAAGAAGAAGAAGAAGAAAAAGAAGAAGAAGAAGACACAATAAGATATCTAAGAAAAAGAAGAGAAGCTTGAAAAAAACTTTATTTTCGTAAAAAAAATTTTTACGAAAGAAAAAAGTTTGATTTTCTTATATATAAACATATTAAAATAAAGTTCAAGTTCCTCGATAAATTTTTTATTAGAATCAATAAAAAAAAATGTTTTTTGAGAAAATATCGAAAAAGGGGATCACCACCTTAATTAGTAAAAATTTAATTAGTGCTAAAAAACAAGCGTTATTTTGTCAAAACAATTCAGAGCTAGAGATTAAAGACAAACTTTTGTTTCAACTTTTTAATATGGACCCTGTGCCGGGTACCTGGATTCAGACTCGGTATTTTCTGCCGAAAACGGGGATTCGGCATAAACGGGTTCCGGCACATCTTTAGCTTGCGCTTCCATAGTTATAAGAAAAAGATTTATTTTAATATAGTTTATATTCTATTTCTTATGGCAATGGTTTTTTGAGTAGACTAACTCATATAAATATACAGTATTGGACAAAACATTTGCAACCAACAATGTGAACAATGCTAAAAAGTGTTCCTAAATTTACATGTTTTGAAAACGAAACGAAATATACTGCCACAGCAAACTGTTCAGGATTCTAGAGTCGTAGCATGCCATGACATGAGCAATCAGCTGACAGGTGACAGCACACAGGCAGAATTTCGTGGACAAGTGCCATTTTGCAGCGGACAAAACAAGAGCAACTATTTTGGTTTGTTTCATTTTCTTAAGTCTGGTCCATGTCAACGTCACGGAAGTTTTTTAATAATTAAAGGCACTGATCTCTATAATAACTGGATAGCCCATTAGGGTGTGTCGATTTTCACTTTTTTTCAAAATTTGATGATGGCTAGTATTTTTTTTTTGTAAATCCTTATGCAAAACATGAAAATAATTTTTTTTTGAAAAAAAAAAATATTTTAAGCTACTTTTTTTCACCTTCAAACTATTATTTTTTTGGACTTAGTTTTTTATTCTAAAAACTGAAGTTTGCCGTAATCTCCGAAGAAGATCGCATATTTACCAAACCATATAGCAAACTAAAATTTAACTCTGTTCGAAAAATACTCCATTTCAAAATTTAGTTTAATAAACAACGTGTAAACAACAATTATATTTTAAAAATACACTCTCCTTTTTGCAGTGTTTACACTTTTTTGGATGTAATAAAAAATTTATTATTAACCGTTTGTTTTACAAGTTGAAAAATCTACAATTTATAATGCTTTGTTATTAAATTTTAATGCCTTTCAAAAACCTTAACTATATAAATGTATGCATGGATGTATATATATATATATAT